GTCACAGTTTAATCAATATATTATATTTAAAATTTACACTGATATTAAAATTTATAACATGAAACGACGGATGAATCCAAAAGTAATTTTACCAAATCATTATGACAAATTAAAATTTATTTTTATCTTTATTGTCCATAAACGTCCAATGATTAAGATCAAAATTTATATTGTTGCATATGTAAAACATAAAATTTATTATAAAATTTATTTAAAAGGAAACCGAAAACTTAGTATCTTGCAATCATAATGAAATTTCTAATATACCTTTATAATCACTTTCGTAGTTGTCTTCTATATGTATGTTTATTAGATCAATGAGCCCGAAAATTTGTAAACACTTATGCACCAAAAACGAATGTGTCCGACGATAGATAGATTTGTTTAAGGGAAAAAATATTTCAAAATCGATGAACGAATACTAGCGCAAATATTTTACTTTTTTTGTGTTCTACGTTTCATGATAACTAAAAACACGCCGTGTTAAAATCTGATTACACATAAATTTCATTAGTAGTATATAATGAAGTTCTTAGTGTAAACAGCGGTTTCGAAAGAAATTGGCATTGCAATAAAAGATTGCAGTTAAGGTTGCTTCTTATATTTAAGAAGAAAATTTAATAAAATTTTCAATTCATTACAAACACAGCTTCTTGAAATCATGAAAAAATCTGGAATTCTCATTTCATTACAAACTCGGCTTTTTGAACTCTAGACCTGATTTAGGTGAAATAATTCTAATTTTGGGTGGTTTTGCCCAAATTTTTTTCTAATAAGCTTATATAATATCATTTACAGCATTTCATAGTTGCTCACAGCACTTCTATTAACACAATTTAAGCACTTATTCACAGCACTTTTATCCGACACAATGGAAGACTATTATAATAGTCAGTGGTGTAACGATTAAATTATTAACTTATTCTAATGATGAAATCCATTTAAATTAGAAAGTTTTTTATCAATATTTCAGAGTCCGAATCCGTTCCTATATACATATAAAAATATTTTTCACAATTCCTCCTTAAGCATCATTAATAGATTTTGAAACACTGTAAATTATAACGTTCTATTGTTTTGCAATTACCTATTAAAAATAAAATTACATAAAAATATTATAACAGTAAAACGATTATCTATTAAAAAAAAGCGAGATGATTGACTGATAATTAAGCATTGAATAGCAATTAAAATAACGGTTGAGAAAAAAAAATGAGAGAAAATATTAAAAGCAAAATAAAAAAAGAAAAAAAAAACACTTATCTGAGATTAAAAATTTTTAACATTTTTAAATAGTTCGGATGCGGCATTACGGTACTATAAAAATAATTTCAATTATTATCCTTCTTCTATCCCAATTTCTTTTCTTTTTTTCTCATTCTAAAATAAACTCAAATGGTTACTTATTTATTGATCTTCATCTTCTATTTTTATGCAAAAAGTATATACAAGTAATTATGATTTTCCATCATATAGGTACCGCCACTTAAAAGAAGATCTCCATTGCAATTTTTATTATAATAGATTGGTATACTTTTAATTTATCAGACTATAACTGCTAATGTACAATTCTATAAAAATAATAAGTAATAAAAGAACATTAATAAAAAATGATTTATTACAGCTATAATAGCCTAAATCTAATCGGATTATTTTATTATAGTATGTGATTAAGTTTTTTATAAGAATTCAGAAATTGTATAGAATGCATTCTAGAACAGTTCTATAAAATGATCTGAAGAATTCTTAACTATTGTCAATCAGTATTTGTTGTTTTTGTTATTTTATTTTTGGAGGGGGATTTAATGGCCTTCGCAATTTATAATTGGTTGCTTCTCACTTGAAAGTAATATTTAGTCATGCATTTATTATTCTGCTATAATATGCTTCTTATGACAATAAAATAGCAGTAATTTTGTAATGACAACACGTAATTAGTGCAATCATGAAGATAAAAATTATTGATGATTTTTATTTTCTACAAAATTTTATTAAGTTTCATTTTTCGTATAATCATTGTATTTCAACCATTTTTTTTTTCCAAAAGTCTTTTTCTAGAGGTATAGATTCAAAATATTCATTTTTCTCTTTCTTCGAAATATTCATTTTAGAGTCGAAATATTAATTTTAGAAACGAAACTCTCTTTCAAAGAGTTTCGTTTCGATTCTAAATTCAATAAAATTTTACAAGAATGTGAATTTTTTTTTATTATACCTTAAAAACTGATTTTCAGCATAATGGACCCACATTCTTATTATTGTTCTTCTAAGTATACATATAACAATATTTTTTAAGCACTTTTAGTTAACTAATCTAATAATTTAAAAAGTCGCATTTGAAATGATTAGGTTAGGTAAGACGACATACAGAGTTTTTTATAAAAAGAATTTGTTTTTGAAATGAATTCAATATTAACACGTAGAGTCCACTCCATAATGTGTCACAGTTGAGCAAATTCAAATATAAATAAAAATTTTCTGCTAAAGAACACATTTTCTGGGATAAAAATTTTTTTTTGTGTATAATTCTAGCTTTTTATCTAAAATGGCTACAGAACTTTTGTAAAAAGACAAATGAATGGACAGAAACGTTAAAATTAGAGAATCATTAGTGAATTAGAGAATCTTAATTACGCAAAAGCACAGTTTTTAAACGTTAAAATTTATTTTAGCTCAATATCGGAAATATTATTTCAATTTCCGATATCATAAAATCAATAAAATTCAATATTTTCGTATATTAAATTTTACCTTGTATTATACAAAATTCTTAGCAAAAAGCTCTTTTTTTTTAAATTGAAATATTTTCCCATTTTTCTTTTCTTTTTAATTTATTCATAACATTCTTTGCATGTAACGTAAGTAAAGTATAAATATTAGGTATTTTATGTAGGTAGATTTGTACAAAGTTATTTAACTATTAAATCTTATGACTATTGGTTTATATATACGACATTAATCTCGTTATTTCGATATTATAGTGTATTCCAGATCTACATAATGGTAGTAATTGTAAACAATAAAAATAATAATAAAATTTTAAAACTAACAACAAAAAAAATAAATCCTTCATATTTGCTCGTTTCACTCATACTTTGAAACTAATCTAACTCAGCTGGCGATAATATCAATGTCCTTTTTCTCTCCCAATATTAACTATGCTATATGAAGAAAACACACAATTAAACATGTTGGTTGTACACAGATTTACATAATTTTTTCCTTTTTCTTATTTACAGGAGGAGGAGGAAGTGGGTGAGTAAAAAGGCAATAATAGAAATTTCTGTGTTCTCATCAGATTTACTGTAAAATTTAGAGTTTATAAAATTAAAATTGCGACAAATTGTGGAACACCTGACTTTTATTTGGTTATAGTTTTTCTAGCAAATTTATTATATTTTAGCGTAAAGTCTAAGCTTTATTAGATAATTTCTGTCTAATATATAAACAATCGTTAGACTTAATCTTACATTTACAGCCTAATCGTGTATCTCGCTTTTTCTTTTCACTTTTTAAAATAGTACTTTAGAGTCAATAGTGTCCATTATATAGAATATTATAGAATTTTTTATTTGTTTATTAATATTACTGAAATTAAAAGATATATTATGTAAAATAATTTATAATACATTTCTAATATTATATAAGTGTACAATATATTTGTAATATACAACAAAGATCAAAGAAAAATTATCAAAAAATTTACTGTATAGATATAGTTAGATAAAGTCCCGCTTGAACACGTGAAAATATGCTGCTCTGCTCTTATAAACAATTGATTACAATATTAAAATAATTTTCATTCTTATACTAAATTTTATTCTTATTTAGAATGAGACAAAAAAATATTGAAAGAGGCATTAAAATAGCGGTCGAATACAAGGGTTAATTGCATGAGTTTGGATAAACAATTATAAGTTTTGATAGCATACAGATGGAAAAAATTTTCTTCCAACGAATAAACTATTTTATTAATAATACAAGCTGCTAAAATTTCAGACCCCTTTAACTTACGGTCTAGAAAAAAACGATATCAAATTGTAAAAAAATGTATTAAAAGTTTTTGACAAAAAACGGGTTAAAATATTTTTTGTGGTTCAAATTCAATAAAAAATCTAATAAGTGGCATTTTTATGGCTTTGGGTGCCTATTATTTTATAGAGGGGAACAGATATGAAATTGTCTTCTACAGATATAAGTTTCTGTAAAATCTACATTATATATTTAAACTGTTCCACGGACAAACATAGTGAAACTAAGAAACAGTTTTTTCCAAAAATTTTTTGGAAAAGTCAAAAAATAAAGCATATTATAATTATTTACCTACATATTATTGCAGCCTTAAAATTGTACGAAATAATGTATGTACATGATTGTGTAAAACTTGATATCAAACTGAATACAGCGACATCTATTAGTAATTAGGTAGAAAAAAAATCATAAAACTTCACTTTTATATTTTTGAATTCTCTCTTAGCAATTTCAACAACCTTTTGTAGTTTCATTTACAACTATTTCTTATACATATTTTTTTATACCAATAAATAGTTTGCTTTTTCATCGCGCCTTTTCGTCATGCAATCAAGAACTATGTAGACTCTGATTTGTGAGTGAATTTAGTTTGTACACAAACCTTTTTTTTCTCAACATATCTCAAAAAAAAAAAATAAAAAAGCTTATTGTGAATATGATTTTTTTTTTTGAAATTGAAGTAAAATAAAAAATTATTTTATACATATGACGTGCCATATATAAGAACTAGCCCCATTAAGTTGGCATAAAAATATAAATGTGGATTCCAATTCACGCTTTATACAAAATGGATTTGTACGATGCTATTATGCGCATAACATATATTTTTAGATCTTCAAGGAGCAGTCGGGTTCTTTTAAATTCTCAAGAAGCAGTTTGAAAATTTAGTAATGTAATATAGTATAGATAAGACTCTACATTCGCACCAATATACGATATCTCAATCGAAATATGGAGAACACATAAAAAACTCTTTAATTTCGTTTGTTATTTTATTCTATTAATCAAAAAAATTACAAAAACATTTGAAATGAGTGTGTCTTTCTATGTTTACATTATAATGTATAAATGGATATAAAAAAACTTTATTCTTTCAAAGTGATGTTAATAATTGTGACTTTGGATATTTCTGTAAAAAAATTTACATTTTAAGTGTATTATACAAATCGGTTCTTCTTTCTGGAAAAATTGGTATTTGTCTTCGTACTTCTTGAACTTTTTTGAAATCTTAAAAAGAAATCAATAAATATGAAAGTGGCATTGAATAAATTAAGTACAACGTTCTTACCAATATCAACAACTAAAACTTCTTCTTTCTCAGATGCTTCGCAGACTACATTAGCCCAAGGATCAACTAACATTGTATGACCATATGCAACATATTCCGTTGTAGGATTTCTAGCAACTGATACTTGGCAAACATAAAGTTGATTATCAGTTGCTCTACCTCTTTGCAGCAACTCCCAATGCATTGGACCCTGACAGGTACAAAATGCTGAAGGATATACTAACATTTCACAGCCTATTAAAACGTTAAACAATAATTACAATTATTATAACTAAGATATTAGACAAAGTAAAAGTTATTACCACCATAGTAACATTTATTACCAATTCTATGGAAAGTTTACCTTCGTTTCTATAAATACGTGCCAATTCATCAAAACGTATATCATGACAAATACCTATGCCAAATTTTTTATTTTTAATCATAACTGTTGTAAATGAATTTCCTGGTGTTAAAGCGATTGCTTCATTAAATTTTGATCCTCCAAAATATTGTTTGTCAATTTCAACATGAAACAAATGAATTTTTCGATGTTTTGCAATTAATTCGCCAGTGGGTGACCATACTGTACATGTGTTGTATAACTTTCCATTAAAATCTTTTTCAATAACACTGCCACCAATAATATAAATTTTTAATTCTTTTGCAATTTTAGATAAAGCTTGGCATGCTTCTCCGTTTGGAACAGATTCTGCATGTGATGCAAAATCATTAACATTATATGATCCAGTGAAGCATTCTGGTAAAATGACTAGTTCAACTTGATTTTTTGCTACTACATCACTAATAAAACGAATCGCTTTCTTGATATTTTCTTGTTTATTCTCTAGTACACTTAATTGTAATAATGCAGTTTTGATTGCTTTCGTTAAAAAATTAAATTAAAATTACTTGAAGTAATATTTTTAAACATCTTTTAAAATTATACTTACTATCAGATGACATGTTTGTTTTAAAAAAATTGTAAGCTGGAAAAAGCTCTTCCTTCTTTACAAATGTAAACCAAATGAATTACTGCATGAACTTATTTGAAAATTCTATTTATATACAATATTATTATCTGTAACATTATATACAAATAATTTTATTTCATTTAAGAGACATCAAAATAACATATAGGTACATATTTACATTATAATATGTATGTTATTACTTTTGTTACATAGGTACATACATAACTAGATTTAAAATCACAAATTGGTAGATAACAGCTACCATAAAAGAAATTAACGATAGTTCATATGCACATTGTGTATGTATCAATAATAATAGGCTAAAAAAACTGGTTCAAACCAATGGTTTGTAAGGTAGCACTTTTCCCTTCAACAGTTGAAATTAGAATCTAGCTATCTATAGAATAATATAAATAACGTAAGAGCTAGATTGCTTTTATATAAAAAGCAATCTAGCTCTTACGTTATTTAAGTTAAATCCATTCTTATAAGATAGATAAAAATTTTCTTATACGGAAATGAGTTTTAGCTAAAGATCTAGGTGTATACGAGTATAAAATTTCAACTCTCTATCTTTAAGGGTGTAATAGTTTTGTAAACGAGTCCACAGATAGTCGGACAGAATGAATATAATAAGAACTTCTTTTTAAATTTCTTTTGAAAAAGTGCTATTAAAATGGAAAAATATCTCAACTCGACTGATAATTTCATGACAGTAAACAACATTATTGAACATCTAGAGAAATATTTCGTATTGGATGAATGTTGCTACTGAGAAAATGCAATTTAATATTAAGCTGAAAGTTATTTTTTGTTTTGCTTCAATTGAGTACCCATATGATACTTAAAACGAAAAAATAATATAAATGCTTCTATACGGGTTAGACTTTCAGTTTGAAAAACCGAATATACTGCTCTGTAACATTACATAAATTGAGATATTATAAATTAATCAATAGCCTGTGACACTAACTAAAATATTCCACTTTCATTTACGATGAAATGTTTGAATTTAGAACACATTTGCTTTTGTTATACTCATTCCAATTTCACACTCATTAGTTTCTTCAAAATTTAGTTTCTTCGTTCACTTAAACACCAAATGATCGTTTGTGAAAAGTTTTGTAGACAAGTTGTGTGAGTTGTCAACGGTTGATAGTAAGCTTTAATAATCTCATTTAATTAATTTATTAGATGGCAAACCTAAGCGATTAATATTAAAATATTCTGCAATGGGGGACTAATATTTTTCAATTTTTTTAGTTATATATACTTTAAGGTCGAAATTGTAATAATACTATGTATTAATGCAGAATTCAGCTTACAAATGGCAATTGCTGAATTTTGTATCGATACGGTATTTTTAAAATTTTTGATGTCAGGGATAATTAGACTTTAATAACCATTAAATTGTGATGCAATAAGTTTGACCAGTCTCTTAAAATATTGTTTCACCATTCGTTTCAATTATTTACATGCATATTTATATTTACACATATGTATATTTCTTATTATTATTATGAATACTGATCAAAATGAATGTATAGCTATGTACACATTTGATAATAAGAAAATCACTGAGCATAACCATTTTCAATATTTATAAAGTCTTATCTCTGAAAGTGTAGCTGGTCAAAATAAATTGAAACAACGATATACCAAAAAAAATTTTTAGTCTTATTTTCTTATCAAAAGTTGTTTTAATATTTTAATATTCACAATTTTAAAATATATTTAGGTACATAAAAAAATGTCTTATACAATTTGACGTAAGGTTTTCTATTATATCTCGCTATAATATTTGTAAAAAGTCTCATCTATTTTTTTCCCTCATACAACACTGGGAATGGTTTATCATCCAATGGTTGCAACCAATTTTGTTCCGACCATTTTGTATTATCAGTTTCAACAACATGGAAAGTATAAGCATGTCTACTCTCTTTTGATCGATTGTGGTCACTTCTGTGCACTACTTGACCATGGATGATAATGCATGACCCTTCATGAAAAAATAAGTTTATTTGTGATTTTCGTAAAATATACTTTTTATCAAAATTTTGTAATTTACCTTTTTTCACTGGTACTTTAGTAAATGTTGATTCTTGATAATACGGTGCTGGCTTATCATAAATCAAAAGTTCTTTTGCATTTTTATCTGGATTCCGGATGTATCTACGATGAATTCCACTTTTATGTGATCCCCTTACAAATTGTAAACATCCATTTTGTATGGTAGCATCATCTAAAGCTATCCAAAACCCAATGGCAGTATTTGGTTCAGTAAATAAATATGTCGCATCTTGATGCGGTGTTACTTCACCACCAATTCCTGGATTCTTATAAATGTACATACTTTGTGGTATAACTGGTCGTCTATAACCTAATTGCCAACAAAATTCCTTAACACGTTCACTAAAAGTGATATTCTTGAAAACTTCAATATCATTATGCAAGGAATGTCCGACCTTAAAATATGATGAATATTTTTTATTGTCATGCAAATATATTATGTTAATAATTAATATTCTTAACTTTTTTACCTTGTTAAGAGCAACAGATGGATCAACTTTCACTTCACCATTTTCATCTACGGCACCTTCTTCGAAAAAGTAACGAATTTTATCACCTGACTCAAGAAAATATTTATCACGACTTTGAAAATCAGCCTGTTTAGTTGTACTAAAAACTTTTCGGTCTTCTTTTGGTGCATCTAAACATAATTGTTTCCCAGCTTCATAAAGTTCTTGAATTTCTTCTGGCGTTAAAAAATCTTCAATTATGAAGTAACCATTTTCCTCCAACTATATTTTAAATAAATGAATTAAATTAATTGATAACAAAATGTGATTAGCTAGATTTTGTAACAATGATAAAGAGCTACTAATATAATGTTAAACATTTTTGGTTTTTAAGAAAAATTTTGTAGGTTAATCTAAAATTGAGTGGGTACCTAATCATTTAAACCTTTAATAATGCATGAAAAATAAATACTTATATATAACATTATGTATCTAAATGTTCATAGGGAAATTTGAAAAAATTAAAGAGATTATACTCTATAAAATTTCTTATTACATTTTATATTTGCTTTTTTTACTTTATGTTTTTATTAGGTCTTTATAACGAATATATGTTCGAAGGGTATACTAAATTTGCCTTACCGTTTGTAACGCTAAGAAATAGTGGTCTGATATATAGACTCAAGCATATGTTTTTGATCAGTGCCGAATTCTGGGAGTATTTAGCTTTGTCTGCCCATCAGTCTGCCCGTTCGTCCGTCCCAAAGATCATTCATAAACTAATTGAGCTAAGTTCACCAAATTTTCATAAAAGATTAATTATAGTAAATGCCAGAATCCTATTTAAATTAGATATGATCGAGATATTATTTCGAGTAGCAACCATACAACTTCAAAATTTATTGGGCTATATCTCGGAAATTATAAAGGCTATAGTATTATGAAATTTCCTGTAACCGAACATATCATTAGGATCATTGCGTTTGCTAAATGTTATTGAAATTGTTTGGCTTCTTCTGGTAGCTGCCATACAACTTGAACACTGTTCAACCTATATAACTGAAATTTTGGAAAATAAAATAATATGCCATACAACAGTAGTTTGGCCATATCTTAGAAAATATTGAAATCACAGTACTGAATTTTTGCATAAATTAATACGGTAATACGGCAACTTAAAATCATAGTCTGCCCCATAATAAGCTCTTCGATATTTACTCGCACATAAAATAACAAATTCGTACGGATATCACAGAGTTGACATGGTCAACTCTATTTTTTTTCGCTTTTATTTAAATTTGTTTCTATTATTTTAGGAATAAAATCTTTCGACCTTATGGCATTTGTGTTACATATTTTGGCATCTTTAATTGCTAATAAATATATCGACACAATTCGAAAATTTCACCTTATAATAAATTTATAAATATTATCGTTGTAATAATTTAGAAAAAAGAAATTGCCTTTACAATTAAAAATAATTTTTAAAGCTTGAAATGTAATTTTCAAGAGCAAAAAAAAAACAAATATGATTTCTTTTAATATTTTGACGTCAAATATTTTTGTTATGTTCATATCAATCTTTGTTATATTTTCCATCTCCTAGTTCAAGCAATAACAAAATAAATAATGTGCTTATAAATTTCATGCCGAAATTAGAAATGAATTTTATTAAGTTTTTTTTCGTTTTTTTAGATAATAAGTTTATAACATAAAACGTAATGAATAGAAGAACATTAGAATTTTCTAATTTCCTGCCTTTTCAATTTCTAGAATATAAAATTCAAATATTTTTACATTCCTACTTATAACATTAAACACTTGTGTCAACCTGCGTCGTTTAAATTTTAAAAATATACAAATATTCGTTTATACATACACATTTTTGTACAATATAAACCAATAGAATTACACATGATATTTATTATAAATATTATTCATAAATAAAATCTCGAAAAAACTTATTATTTTTATTCTAAATTTTATAAAATATAAAAAAATATAATGAATAATGCAATTTAAAAATAGGAAATGTTGCAATTCATATTTTCTAAATTTTCAAAAATTTCTTTTCTATAAATTCACTATCCATATTTCGATCATTTTATTTCTAGAAGAAGTAGAATAAGGAATATATATATATGTTATATACATGATAATGTATGTCATATGCGCAAAATTACTAAAACGTTTCACGAAGAAAATGAGTACATTTTTCAATAACATATAATTTCCTGTCCACCTACATTTATAATATTCATAAATTTGATAATGACGTTTTTGTGGATGCTATGTTATAGAGACCGTACGCAGAATTTGATTTAAGTGAAATCAAACCGCAATTCTGAAATAGAATAGCTTTTCAGAAAGTTGTGATAACTTTTTTCCACTATATCATGCATATTTATACTTATTATGTATGTTTGTATACATTAATGGTCTGTGTACCTAAGTTTTGTAAGTTAGCACATTTCATATGTGTACATATACAATATACATATAATTTTAATTATTTACATACAACATCGTTTTTAAAAAATGAAATAAAGCGAAACTAATACGCTTTTCAATATTTCATAAAAACTATTTGACTTCGTTTGTCAATATTAATTAAGAAAATTTGAAGTAAGTTTAAGCAATAATTGTATGAATGAAATACGAGTACTTCTGACGAAAAATGTTGGATAAGCGTTATGAATTGAGTTTTAAACAGCTTTCAATATACCTTTTGTACTGGAATGTCATTTGAATATATGATTTCACATGGAAGCTGCATGTATCTAAAGTGCTAAAAGTATTAAGAGATTCTTGAAAATGCCATGTGCCATATCAAGTTTTATGCATAAATGAAAGTCCCAAAAAACTAAGTTTTCAAAATTTTTTCAATAATGAAAATATTTTTATTATTTTTTTTCCAACTGGTTGTTTTATGTGTGTACACTATGCAGGCAAAATAATTTTGGATGATCAGGTGTTTCATTCAATATTTCAATAATAATATAAAAACCTACATCTATAGCAAAATATTTCACTTTTTATTAGAGAAAAAAATAAATTTTTTCTGTAACATCACCTACTTCCCCCACGTTTTTAAATAATGTTTGAATTTTTTAAAATGATAAAGATAGAATATAAATGAATAATCTAATTTGCTAATATTATACTTAATAATATAGGTGATTTATTCAAATTTAAAAATAAATATGCGAAAAAACAATATAGCGAAAAACAAAATACGATAATAAGAATACTAAAAAAATTGGTAGGAAATGAGCCAAATTGCATTGCAATTCAATTGACTTAATTGATTAATTTTAAAATAGTTCGCAAAAAAAAACTGCATTCCTTAGTAAAAATTAAAAATATACTAAATTTTCATCTTACCTCCTCTACGATTGAATTTCTCATCTTGATGTTTTCTTATTTTATATAATAATAATTACTTTAAATATTTTAAATTAGAAAAATAATTGTTTTTTTTTTTTTAGTTTTTGTACTTTATTAGAGTTGAAATTTTAAATACCATCTAATATAAAATTTCTAAACTAAGTAACAAAAACGGACAATCTATATTAAATATTCGCACCAAAATTTGATAAATATGTAATTTTTCGTATCCGCTCCTCAAAACGTGCACTTACAATCAGAAATTTAAATTTCAACTAAATTTAAAGTTTTTAAAATGTAAATATTATTAGAATTTTTATTTTATTTATATTTTCTCTCAATTCTCAGCTAGTGAATGCAAATAGAAAAACAAAAACATAAGGAACGTATACGTATGATATGAATGTGTTATTCATGAAACGTATGATTTGATACACTCATTCAATTACTCATTCTGAATTTAAGAAAAACTAAAAATAAAATTTCTCAGTTTAAAAATTTAATTTAATAATAAGAAAACAAAAAAATTTTAAAATACTCATGAAAAAAAAAATTGAGTGTTTAAATTTTTAACCTCGATAACAATAAATAAATAATATTGATAAGAAAAATTTGAGCATATAAAAGGAAAAGAAACTATAAGTGAGACGACAAAGAGAAAACAAAGAAAGTCTCTACAATTTTATAATAAAACTGGTGTTACCATACTTTTAAATTAATTCAATCGAGGGAGGAATTGTGATCGCATCGAATTCAATATGGCGAGTTTTGAAAGGAAATACGTTTCTTCATGTAAAAAAAACATAATTAAGTTATTTTTAGGGAGAAAGCTACTATGTCTTTCGTACTTAATTTTGATATTAAATACTTAATTTACCTAACTTTATATACATTTAAATTGGCCTAACAATATGTAAAATGATAATTACTCGTTTACTGAACGTACCCTGTACACCAACTTTGTCAAAACAACAACGTTTTTTAACGTACCCCAACCTTGTCAGAAATTGACTCGAATCGATTCTCAGTAGTAAATATTACATGCTTATTACGTATCAGCCGACTTTAAAATTGTTAAATTGTGTGACACTCTCGTTGAGTTGCAAACTCATTTAGATTCGAACCAATAATATTTGAAAAATATATGGTATCTGTCGTTCAGTTTATAATTATGTTTTGGATTTGCAGTGATATTTTATTTTGTGCTTTTCATTTATAGTTGATTAAAATATAATGTAAATATGTATGCACACTATAAACTTGATTGTTTATATACAGTGCTTGAATAATATTTGCAATAAATTCGCTGTCTTTTATTAATGGAAAATAATAATAATTTTAAATTTCAGAAAAACTTTTTAGCTTTGTCTATAAAATTTTAATAATTAGGACAAAGCTATACCAAGAAGCTGGATCTTACCTTGTTCCATTTTTTTTCATAAAAAATGCCAAATGTCAAATGAAATGTCAAATGTCACAATATGAAAAATTTAATTGCTGTTTTTCTGTAGATATTTTTCTCAACAGCACGAAATATCGATTTTTTTTATATGATTAATACATTTCATATGTAAAATCAAAATTAGTAAATCTAATACTTGAAACAAACACAATAAACTAATTAGACAAAAAAAAAATAAATTATTGTTCTTCCACAAAAACATCTCATTATTTGAGTAACGAAATTAATTATACTTTTTATTTCTTTATGGAAACCACGTATTGTTTTATAACAAAAAATTTTAATAAGTTTCAATTCGTGTAATTATAAATACGAATGAATGACACCTGTTTTATACCTACCATTATACGTTTATCAATATCAACTTTGAAATAGTGAAAGTGAATGGTTCTTCCACTTACGCATGCAAATATTTTTTCGCACAAATATATTATACTTGCAGTACCTTTTAAATTTTTTATGTCATCATTATTATTATTATTACAAGCGTGATCAGACATTTTATTTTAATTTGCAATTTATTAATTCTAATATAGAATTTTTTAGTTTATTATTCTAATATAGCATAGAATTTCATTAGCACTGCCAAAATTTGAGAAGAAAAACGATGTCCAAAATGGTGGTCTAAAAGAAAACGATATACAAAATTTGGAAAAAAATTTATTTTGGATAAGGATCATATGTACGTATATGAAATTTCACCGTTCTATCTTCAAGAATGTAGAAGCAGACAGTATGAAACTAATAAGCACTTTTTTTCTAATTTATTTTGGAAAAGTGCTAAAAAAATAAAGTTAATAAAATAGTGTTTAAAGTAGTACTTTTCCCTTAAACAAGCTTTAAAAAAGAATCTAGTACATGATATAAATTAATCTTATTCCTATACTTGAAAATAATGCATATCGAATTATTGCATACATTTTGCATGGCCAAAAGAAAAAAATTGAAGTAAGCATAAACATAATAGCATAATTCGACGTTTAAATAAGTTATTTAGAGTAGGTAATTATGTTCTTTGGTGGAATGGCTTTTTGCGTTAGCTTTTTGATTATATTGAAATTTGAAAAAGGTTGAAGTTTCCAAAATATATGGAACTGAAAACTCAAATTTTACAAATTTCGTGAAATGATAACTTTAAGGGGAATGGATCTGGAAAATTAAATTTCGGCTAACGACATACAGGACAAACAAGACATACAGACAAACAAAATTTAAAATGAGCCCCTAGTGAAAATCTTGTTTCAAATAATAAGTTTCAAAAAAATCTTTAGTACCAACACATAAACTCCTTCATAGTTTGCAACGTGGTCAGTATAAATCAGAAAACTTGCGCAGTTGGATGCATATTTAATTCATCAGATAAGTACAATCATGTTATTGTTGTGAACTTTGCATTCTTTGTTGTTGTTGTTTTTTTTCTTTTAGGAAATTATCTTTGCCTGTGACGTCACGACGGAACACTTTAATTACTTTACCTAAAACAAATAAGCATATAGACTTTTTGAACTTAAATGTTCTACTAAAACATGTACAGTGTGCTGTGTTAGTTGGAACCTAAATAATTTTATTTTTCTGTTTTATAAAATACATTAACATTTATAAATACGCAATTTGGAGTGATGAAAAAATATAATCAATTTTTTTCCTTTGGCAATAAAATTCATACATTTAGTGAGGACGTAAAAATAAAACAGATTCAGACGCGTAGAAACTTTTTAAGCTTTTAATTTTTACTTAGATTTGATTTTTACTTAAAAATGTAAATATTTAGACTTTTTTAGCTTTAGATTTCACTATGTATTACTATTTTGTTTTAGTAAAACTTTTTGATCGTAAATTAATCTTAGTAAACAAAATAACCTGTTTCACTAACAGAAACAATCAAATAGCTGAATTCTATATTGTAAAAACTGCGTTAGTATACTAACTTATATATACTATAATTAGTATATGTAGGCCAAATATCACGTTCTATATTGTCTTTGCCAAGCAAAAAACAAAAAACGCCTCGACAAAGATTTTGATAAATTCAATGCAGCTTTTAAGTAAAAATAATAAAGTTTAGAAGGAAGGAGGGAAATTTGAAGGTGGTATAAAACTGGTTATAATCTGGAAGCCAGCAAACTTTAAAATTTTATTCAATTTAAGCTAATTTGAAAAAAGGCATTTTCGTTCTTAAATAACTTAAATATCGATTTGAGCGGCTATATTGTATTTACAATTTACATTGTGGTTTTTCCAAGTTCATTATTTTCCCCACAAATTAAATCAAAAAAGTAAAATGTACATTAGATCATATTATAAACTAAATAATAAGATTTCATCAAGAAATATTGACGCTTTTGTATAAAACACTTCTTCAGTTAATTGCTTTAAAATTTAAGAGTCATGTACACAATTGAAAAATACGCTATCAAAATAAAATAAAAACTAAAAAACAAAATTCAAAATAAATGTAAATAAATCGCAAATAAATTAACGACAAAAATTGCATAACAAGAAAAAAAAAACAAACAAAAAAAAAGAAAAAATTACTGAAAACGCTATAGTTATTATCTGGCAGTGGTTCATTTGAAACGCTCAAAAAATAAAATTACAGAAGAAAAAGCTCAGACATCATTTCAGTTCTCACCACTTACCACACCAAAAAAGACATACTTATTATATTAATTTATTATCATACATTTTTTTTGTTTCTGCTTTTCTTTTGAATAAACGAACTATTCAAGCAGGGAAAGTAGTTATTTTTTGTTACTAAATTAACTCTTTTATATTCAACTTTGGTATATTATTATTTTTGTATGGTATATCCATGTTATAAAGATAGATAATGGGAATTTTTTTTAATATGTGTATTACGTCTATATGCCCAAAAAACAGAAGAAAAAAAAATTTATTATATAAAGGAAATGGCAGTCAATGTTATCAGTTTGTGAATTTCCTAAGTTGGCAACCCACAATAATAATAAAAAAATCGTATGTTGATGTATACAACTATATACTATCTGTTATATTAAAAATTACAATGGTTATTTAATTTGGAATATAACTAAGATATAAAAAGTTAATTTAAACCCTTAGGAACTATGAATTAAACAAAATGTTAAACTTAAAATCGATTAAAATTTCCTCTACTTTAGTTCATATTTTGATATCTTGTCAAAAAAGTAAATTAACTCTTTTAATTACAATTTTTATACTTATATTATTCTGGATTTTACAATATAATTCCAATAGTCAGTAACATCTATAATAATATTTCGGATGCTATCCTTAACATCATAAACTATAAGACTTCATGTCATTCTGATCATTAATTTGCACATGACTATTTTTTTAAGAACACACACTTTTATTAATTTCAAAACAATGATTAAAATAGAATTTTGCATGTTTTTCAAGGAGTCTTTACGATTGGGTGTTTGACAATGTTGTCATTATGCTTCATCTAGAGTAATAATCCAGCGTAAACAAGTTTATTTGAAGTGCCTAAAAGTTCACACTAAATTTTCAACATGTGATTTTATTTTTAATCAAATGCGGCACACATTACAACTTTGGTAAAACTTTTATAATGTTAAAAATTTCTCTGTTCACAAATCATATGAATGCTGCCGTAAATTTGTTATAGAAGTATACTGACATACGAAATTTTAAACCAAATTGATCGCTACATTTCAATTACACTTTTGTTTTTCCTCCCGGGAACCGAGGCCCTTAGGCCTTGCTCATGTCGACTCATAGGATCTTTTGTGATTCCCATCACAAACCGCAGTATGCCAGCCACATCAAGCTGCAAGAACCTCC